CTTTGCTACAATTGTATCTTCTGGGAGAGAAACCATCCGCACCAGCTGCTGTTGTCACACGATGCATTTAGGTATGTGACTTCAGACAAACAAGCAATAATGAGTTTACTTTTGGATCACCAGGCTGAGGGAAGCTGTCCAGCATCCTCCAGCAGCCTGACCGGAGCGTACACGCACACCTCTGGCTGCCCTGTGGTTCCTGTCAGGAGCCCTGGCTGTCAGTGCCCACCCCTCATCACAAAGCCTGTYGCCCTCTCTGACACTGACTGCAAAGCTTGAGCAGTCAGGCTTGGGTACCTCCGGGGCACCCATTGCAGTGACCTCATCTGTTCTCTCATGCTGCTGTCTTTACAATGTTTCCCTGCCCTGAATAACGCTTAAAGCAGCATAGCTACAATTTTATTTTCTTAAATGTCCGCTCTAAGCACAAGCAGTTGACATGCATTGGGCACAACTATCAACTTTTCTGGCTCTTTGTACTGAGGTGGAGATGTCAGAAATAGAAATGCCAAGTAGTAGCAGCTCAGGCTTTTCCTGGACTGTCTGCCTGGGAAGAGGCATGCATATGAAACTGGAGTAAAAGGTCATTTTAAAAATCACAAAGTGGTCGCTGAAACCCAGTGTTTGCAAGGGTCTGGATGCAGTTGGAAATCACTAAATCTCATCCCTTTGGCTGTGTAAAGCTRAATCTAGGCTGCACCTAGTAACTCCTAGGTTTTCTGCCTACTGAGGTTGCTTTTCYATAGAGGGCCATTTTCTGACAGCTACTGATAAACATGAATATGAACATGTGGTCAGCAAACTCCTTTTTTTTATAGTGAGGTGACAAAATTTTATTGTGATTGGATTTTACCATGATTTAGACTTTACAGGAGCAGTTTKTGCTCTTTTAAAGTACTTTCTAATGTTGCTACACATCTCCCTGAAGAGATCAAAGATGTTTTTAATTCACTTTAAATCTGTGTTGAGTTCATTTAAATGTCTGTTATAAGCTATWTTTGTTTGGTTGCAGGTTGATAAAATGCAGCCAAGAGAATGCATGTGAATTGCTGCCCCCCAAAAGCAGCACAGCCAAGGGGCTGTAGCAGACTTGTACTTGTTGGAGAGGCATTGATGTATTATGTGTAACAGAACATTGGTATTTTTTGCCAGTACAACTAAAGACACTTGAATAATTCCTGTTTGCACTTAATGCTATTGTTTATATTGCATGTCACTACATTTCTATGCAAAACAAATAACCTTTCTTTTGGGAGGAGGGGCAGCCAGATATTTGATTAAGTATAAAGATCTTTGCGAGATGATCTATTTTCGTATTTATGAAGGAGTTTTACGTCTTAATATTTTGCAGTCTGTAAATAGCTGAACTTGTAATTAAAGGCTTAGGAAGAAGTTTGTAGCCTGTGTATAATAGTAAGTTAACACTGCCAGAAAAAAAATCTTTGCGAAACAACTTTTCTAATATTGCGGATATTTATGAATATGTAAAGAAAGCACGTCTTGTTTTTATGTTGATTGACCTTCTGACTTTTTTGAACTATAGAAATGGTGTATGTGTTATTGGAACTGCAATAAGAAGTAACCAAAGATGAATCCACTTAAATATTTTCATAATTTTTTTCTTGGTCAGGTTTTGTAAACTTTCCCAACTTGCTTTCAAAATAAAAATGAAATCAAGGCCTGAGTCTTGTGATTAAGAAGACAACTCTAKAAATGTTCTTACTTAAGCTACAAATGGCATCAATACCTGGCACGAGATTGTATTTGCCATTATTCGGTGCCGAGTTAAACACAATGAAAGCTGTCATCTTCAGTCAGTGTTATTTCTCTCCTGTATCTCACTGATATGTTTACTGTAAAATACATGAGACTGAAGGATTTTTCCTTTTCTGCCCTGTGTTAGTGCTCTGAAGTGTAGGCCATAGCTTGTGACCTACCAGATAAGATGGCTTTTGATATCAGCCTGCAGGATGCTTGCCACGGTGGCTGCTGTATTCTATCCCTAAATTGCTTCAGCAGCACTGGAAGCTCTGCAGTTTCTCAGGATCATGTATCTGTCTTTCAGCTCCACTCCATTTCCCCTTGGAAAGTCTGAAGACCTGCTATGGTTCTGTATGCAGYTAGCCTGCACTAGAATCAGCTGGCCCATGTGGGAGAAACTTTCTCCTTCCCTTCCTGTAGGAGCAAAGGTCTCGTCTGTGCACGCTGTAACCAAAGGTGCACTTCTCCCCCTTCTTCAGCCTCAACCCTGCCTTCACATCCCAGCATGCCACTAAGGAACACRGCCAACTCCAACTGAGAGCAATTTAATCGGTCAGATGTTAAAACAGAAACAAGAATATAAAACCTGTTCCATTCGTGGTGAGTTCTTGATGGAAAAAAGAACTCCAAAACTTGGAGGAGAAAAAAACAGCCCAGTTTAATGAGGAGTTTTGTAGCTCTATGCACTGTTCCAGGCCAACTTTATCTTCTCGCTGTGAGCTTTGGAAGATTTAGAAAACAAGCTCTTTACTATTTGCAGTGGCACTGATTTTCCACTGAGGTACAGTTTATTATGGCAGTCTGGCAACCAGGGCCCTGCACCAGCGTCTGTGTTTTTCCCTTGCTTGAGCATCCAGACATAAGCCATGATATAGCCGGTCATGAACGCATCAAAGCCAGCTCGGTGTGTGCCCCCCTGTGAAGGAGGGCCATGGATTTCCTTTTCCTTTCCTGCAGCACCTGCTGCTTCAGTCTCAGGGRTGCCTGGGTGACTGGCTGAGCCCARCCCAGCRGRAACCTTTGACTTCCTCTCCACGTGCTCAGKATCAGAGGCATTTCCCTTGGCAGAAGGGCTCAGGGCAGCTGCTCCCTGGGCAGTTCTTTCAGTGCTCCCCAGATTCTCTTCCCAGTGTGTGCTGGTGTCTGAGCTGACCTCCGTTTCCACATCCATGGAGATCTCCTCCAGTGGCCTGCTCTCTCCATTGGGTGCGATCTCTGCCAGCTCTGTAGCAGCTGCAGGCTCATAGCAGCTCTGTTTCCGTGGTGGTCCCTCCTCCCCATTCTGAGCTTGCTCCATTTTTTCCCCTGAGCTTTCCCGTTGGAACTCCTTTTCAGCCTCTTTCATGTTCTTCCGATGCTTCCATCTGTGCTTYCGTTTCTTTCGCTTCTCCCAAAGCTTGTCGTCCTCATCAATGATGAGGTCAATGTTATGAGACTGTGGACACTTCACCCCTTTTGGACACCAGCCATAGGCCTAGGGAGAGAGAGAGAGATAAGTCTGTAGCCTTTATCTTCCTGGTTAGAGCAGTAATCAYCATAACATGGAGTGGAACTAATTGTTCCCTTCCACCGAGGGCTTGCAAGGCTGGATCAGGAACAGTGTYTAGTTCCAACCCCACAGCACACAGGAAAGGTGCTGACACACTGCAGTGGGTGCAGCAGGGAGCTGTCAAGGTGCAGCACACAGCATRTGAGGAGAGGCCAAGGAAGGTGGGTCTGTTCTGCTTGGAAAAGACTAAGGGGGAGTGGGATATCTAGTTGGTGTCTGCAAGTACCTACAGCAGAGGTTATGGTCAAGATGGAGCTAAACTCTTGTGAGAGCATAGGGAGAGGGGACCTGGCAACAGTCACGGTAAATGATGACTAAATATGTAGGAAAGCATTTTTCACAGAGTGGTCAAGCACTGGAACAGGGGCCTGGAGTTGTTTTGTAATCTCTGTCCTTGCTCASTTTCAAAATCTACCAAACAAGGCTCTGAGCAACATTAAGGTGGTGGCTGGATGAGAAACTTCCCCAACCTACATTCTGTGACAGAATGTGCAACATCTGGAAGAGCTTCTTTTCTCCATGAAGCACCTGAAGCCAGTTATGATCTGATCTGATGGTTTCTTTGTCCCTGTAGCTGCACCAAGATGAGCTGCTGTGGATCACSCTGTGCTACAGTGCCAGAAGCTGCAGACAGGTAATAATTTTTTATATCTAATGAAGATACAGGGAAGGGTAGAGGTGGCATTTCTTTCTCGTAGGACAAGCCAAACTAATGCAGAACTTGCAGCCCTTCCAAGACAGCAATGGATACTGTAACTCACACTACCCCCACTGTTTAGGGCCACAGGATCTCTCGCAGACTCTTTCTAAGGAAGCCTGTAGGATTCCTCCCCTCCAAGCAGAGCACACTATTGCCCTCTGATGAAGCCAGCTAAAGCCTGAAAATGTTCCATGTACTGTGAAGCGAAGGGACATTCTCAGGTGCTTTCCTACCACTTCTTGCTCAGGCCACATGTGCCTCTTTCCATGGAGCCAGGAAGTGAGTGGGGATTCAGGTTACTTACTGAAAATTTCTCACACACGGGCACCTTATTCCCCCCTTCAGTGCCGTGGCTTTCTTCTTCCAGGGAGCAGTAGCGGTAGTCGATGTACCGGGCCAMGTTGGCAGGGTAATTGCAGAACTCCACGGTGAGGTGCTGCCCACTGGAATCCTTCAGCTTACAGTTCTCCCTCTTGCTGGAACAAGAGAAACACACAGTGTGGGAGAGGACCAGGGCATGGAGCAAACACAGTGCTCTCCACCAACTCTCAACTTCACGACTTTCCTGCTTTTGAGTTCCAGCCCCAGCTCGACAGCTTGCTGGRAGGAAATCCAGTCCAGGGAGAGAAGCTTTAGTAAATAGTTGCTTCCATGCTGATTTAAAGGCTGTCTTTTCTAATACTGACATAGAGGAAAAGTGTCTCTGATGAAGCTGAAGATGAAAGGGATGCATAGTTTGGTTTTTTAACTAGAAAGGGTACTAAGATACCTGTTTGTCTTTATGATGTTAATAGACAAAGAAAAAACRCCCCAAAATGAGGTACTGTGCAGACCACCCAGCAGTCACCACCCAGGCAGGCTGAACCAGGGCAATGTGGATAAGAAGGATAGGGTTTTCACCTCATGAGAAAAAAAAACATCATCTCTGTTTTGTCCCAGGAGCTGGTTAAAAGGCCCAAAGCTTCTGGGAAGCCCTACCTAATGAGAAATATGGGTTAAAACCCATAAGACGTCAGTTTAAAAAGTTTTTTTAATCTTGTCAAAACAAAGCACTCTCATGTTTTGAGAACAGCCATCCTGAATGTTTTCAGACCTGTCAAAGTGGCATTTCCTGAGATAAAACAGTTGCTAAAAATACAATTTCTCCTCAAAACAGAGCATGACTTGAGCTCCATGAAGATCCCAGGGGCTGTAGCACTGCCAGGGGCTTGTTTAGATTGCATGGGGCCTACAGAATGTGGGGCCAGGCTGTAAAGCAGAGGTATGTGTCCTGAACAAGAGCACAACCCTTGCTTGGAAGGAAGTGATGGGAGTCAGAGCAAGCCAGAGGCATCTCACGTGCAGGATGTGTGACAGAGCTGGTCAGTGTCAAGGAGTGCAGGGAGCACCCACCCTGTAACTGCAATGTCCCTCATAAAACAGAATTATAATGAGCAGACCCTGCAGGACAGCCTGGGTTTTTTTTTCGTGTGTGTGTTCCTGCCATGACCCTGTGGCACTGCTGGACCAGAGCCAGGCAGTGACCCAGTTAGATCTCAGATCAGGTCACTGTGTTCACTCTTCTGCTGRCATCGGTTTTGAAGTTCTCTTTCAGCTGCTGGACATCAAACAGATAAGGCCTATTACAAACCAAACCCATTCTAGAAACAGAAAAAGCACAGGGCAGAGTCACCTGAAAAGCACCTTTCTGCAGTCAGTGGGACAGTGAAAGGGCACAGCCCCCTTGCCTGGAAAAACAAACACACACTGAGTTCCCTTTTGCCTTTSCTCCTGTTAGCTCTAAGTACCAGAGTGCTACTTACCACTTCTTGTAGGCGTACTCCAAGTAGGACGCTACAAAGCGAGTCTCAAACTCCGAAGCGTATTTGGTGTCATATATTCCTGCTGGGAACATCTCTGAGAGGTCAGCAGTGAAGGTGCCGAGGCTGTCTGGGAGGTGAGCATAGAAACACTGGTACAGGAACACCAGGTCAATCAGGCCGTTATGGAGAATGAGCGGCTTCTTTGCTCGGATGAGCTCCAGGAAAAGCGTCCGAATGCTMAGGCTCTGGCTCTCGTTACCCTGCATGAGGAAGGATCTGTCAGTGAGCCTTGGCACCCTGACCTGCTGGCACCCTGGAGAGCCTTCAGAGCCTGCAGCAGCAGAATGCTGCCCACAGCTATGACTTGCTCTGAGTAGAGACACAAATATTTGGAGAAGCAACTACAACAAGTGGGTATAAAGCAACAGGGAGGTGAAAACAGCAGGGAATGCTGCACTCAAGGCCCCAGTGTGAGCCCACCTTCACKCAGGAGCAAGGGAAGCCAGCACAAYTCCAGAGACCTGGAGCAGAGCAGGCTCAGGTGTCTGAAAGGGAGTGGGTTTGTACCTTGTCGTTGCCCTTATGGTAAGGGATGCCCTGGGAATACTGCTTGTTGAAGTCGAAGCCATGCTGCACGAGGAACTGCACGGACTGGGGCTCCACAACATAATCCTCCGTGCACAGCAGTGTCAGGTTGTAGATCTGGCACAGGTACGTGTTCTCGGACTGCACAAGGAGAGCGTGGTAAGAACCCAGGGACACGTGTCAGAGGGAGCTGCCGAAACAGCCGGGGCAATTCCACGGGAGCACGTTCCGATGCTCCCCGTTCCCTGGGAAGGACCAAGAGCAAACAGCCGCACTACGGCCCGTGCACGCACCTTCTCCGGGAGCTGTTTGAAACAGGCSACGCCGAGGGACAGGACAGAGCGTGTCCTGGCGGCGCTGCAGACGGCCTTGTACCGCTCCTCGATGCACCTGGCGGCGASAGAACGGGCATGACTGCCCTGGCCGGCCCGTAGCCCCGAGAGAGGGCACCGGGCCCCCGGTACCGAGAGACGCACCGCTCCCTCACCCCATCGGGTACTCACGGGCTCAGCAGCAACTTTCTGGCGCCGAGGCCGCTCAGCTCCTGCGAGAGACAGGCACCGTCAGTGGCCCCGCGGAACCGCCCGCGCCCCGCCGCCGCCCCCGCCTCGGCTCACCGTGTCCACGGCCACGAAGGTAGCGGAGCGCAGCGCCAGCACCATGGACGGCCAYAGCTCCGCCAGGTTGTCGCTCTGCACGTCAACCACCGGCACCCGCGCCGGGCCCGCCATGGCCGCGCCTGCACGGGGCCTCCGCCACCGTGCCCGCCCGCCGCCTGCCCGCCGCCTGCCCGCCACGGGCGCTGCACGCCTTGCCCGCCCCGAGCCCAGCGCCGCCGGCCCTCGCGGCCGGCCGGGCTTCAGCCGAGCCCGGTGGGGTTTTCTACCGTTCTCAAAATCCGTTTTCAACCGMAATTTGGAATTAAGTCAACGGGCGTTTAGCTTGGACAGCTCCTTTGGATCCTTCCCGAGCGCCTGCTCGGCCCGGCGGGAGAAGGGGCGGCCACCTTTTGCTCGCTGCTTGCTGATTGGCTCCGGTGCGCCGGGAGGCCCCGCCCCTCTCCGCTGCGTTCCGGGCGCGCGCCTCCCTTCGATTGGCTGGCGGTCGGATGGTGGGCAGCACCTCCCTCTCTGATTGGCCTTGGCGCGGGGGTGCGGCGGGAAATGTTTTCCCGGGAAAGCGTGGCGCGGCGGGAGCGGGAGCGGTGTCGCCATGGGCCCCGCGCGGGCTCGGGCAGCGGCGGCAGCCGGGGCGCTGCGGCGGAGCGGCGGGAGCGCGGCCCTGCCCCAGGGGCGGAGCAGGAAGGGCGCTTCACCCCACGGAGGTGCCCGGTAGCGGGAGGGCTGAGGGAGCGCGGGATGTTCTCCCTGGGGCATGGGCCGCCATCTCCGGCAGTCTCTGCTGCTTGCTCTTAAAGTCCGGTGCTCGGTGCGCGTCTGCCCGGGAGCGGCTCGGTCGGACTCCCGCCTGTGCTGCGGTCGAGCTCCGCAGCTTTTCGTGTCTCCCACCTTGCGCTGACACCGTGCCGCTCTCCTGGCAGGAACCCCAGCTGCAGCGCCCGCTCCGCTGCCCGCCTGGCATCTCTTCAGCGACCCCGCCGAGGTCGAGGCTCTGCGCGGAAACCTGCTTTCCTGGTACGACCGATGCAAGCGGGATCTTCCCTGGAGGGCACTGGTAAGGGGAGACAGCGGGAAGCGGGGTTGGGGAGCTACACRCTCTGCCTTGAGGGAGCCTGGCTGAAGTGGCCACGGTGTTTTTCCCTATGTGGTGCATCCCTACCTGTATAAAAGTGCCGTCAGCTAGTCCTGGCTGTTTTGTGGTGGGTGATCTGGAGCCAGTCCCTAGGTAGAACAGCAAAGCAGGGCATGCTTTTTAAACATAATGTCCAACCAGGAGTACTTTCTGGCAAAGTTAGTCTAGCTGTCTTTTAATCCCWTTTTGTTTCTGCCTCTATAATACTCTGTGCCAGTGAGTCCTGCATGGAATAGGTTTCCCATGTATTTGTTTTAAGCCTGMTGGACGTTGTTGTTAGAGCTCCTGYCTGCTCTGTGCTCAGCCTGGCAGCAGTGGCGCAAAGGTGATTGTGGTGCTGAGGATAAGCATCAGCTTTACAGCAGCATCTGCCTGAATAGTGGGAACTGCATAGCCCCTCTGTGGGATTTACATCTGCTTCCCATTGCCTCCTGTGCAAGCTCAGTTATGGGAAAATACTCTGTGGGATTTTGAACTTCATAACTAACTCTCCATCTGGGATTTCATCAGCAAGAAGGTGCTTTGGCTGCTTCTTGATTAACCTGAACTCAGGACTTCTGAGTGCTTGGGGGAAATATATTTTTTATTTCAGATTCTATTGCAGTGTTCAAAACACACCATGTATTTTATTTATTTTACACGCAGGTCCCCTCTGCAGTGGGGTCCTTTGTCACCTTGTTTCTCACACTTGCTCTTCTTCCCCTTCCAGGCAGCAACGGAGCCAGATGCCGACAGACGYGGATATGCAGGTGAGGAGCAGGGATTGGCATTGTGAGGTATGGCTTGGGATGCCATACATRGAATAAACTGCCTGAAGCGGCCATGAGAGCCACTGATTCCCCTTGCAAGGYGCTGGGGGGTTGGAGAACCCACCTTAGGCCTGGGGGAGCTGTGGGGCAGGATGTGGGGAAGGTGAGGGGTGGGAGGTGGTCCCACGAGGGGGATGCTGTGCAGTGCCTGTAGCCAGTACTAATGTGGCCGTGGCACGAGGTGTGGGTGGCCTTGGTGCCTCTGCTCTGACCCCTGCCCTGCTCCCTGCAGTGTGGGTGTCCGAGATCATGCTCCAGCAGACACAGGTGGCTACAGTGATTGACTACTACAACCGCTGGATGCAGGTGACTGCTCCTTACAGAGTCCTGTGCCTTTTGGAGACCTTGTCCAMTGCCTGTGGCAGATCCCCAGTGGCAGAGCACAGCTGTGCTGGTCCCTGACTTGTCCCTTTCCCTCTGTCCCGCAGAAGTGGCCGACGCTGCAGGCTCTGGCACAGGCATCCCTTGAGGTGAGCGTCACTGGGACCGGGTGCCTTCCCTCCCCTGCGGCTCTCCATTAATACTGTGCTATGTCTTGGAGCAGGAGGTGAACGAGCTGTGGGCCGGGCTTGGCTACTACTCCAGAGGGAAGCGTCTGCAGGAGGCAGCAAGGAAGGTGCTGGAGTAGGAGGAAGGGGCATTTCTAAACCTCTCTGTGGCTGTTGCATGGGTGCTGGCTCACGTGTGCCCTGCCTCRCTGGGGCTGTGCTGCTGGCACGAGGCTGCAGAGGCCGGATCCCTTCTTCCCGTGGGCAAAATGGGTTATCTACACACACGCACTTCCCTGAGCTCAGCCCCCTCCCTGCCAGGTGGTGTCTGAGCTGGCTGGGCRCATGCCCAGGACGGCTGAGGAGCTGCAGAAGCTGCTGCCAGGCGTGGGCCGATACACGGCAGGAGCCATCGCGTCCATCTCGTACGGACAGGTGAGAGCTGGGTGTCAGTGGATGCGTCTCCTCTCTGCTGCTGGGTCTCACAAGCCAAGGGCTCCCCAGGGTTGTGTTCCCCACTTTGGGGTGTATCTCACCCCCCAACCCAGCTTGGCCTGTGGGCTGGCCTCGTGTATGTCCCTCTCCATCCTGGGAGCTCCTTTCTTTGTCTGGAGCCCGTCCCAGCATGGTGACCCCAGCTCCTGKTCCCAGGCTACCGGAGTTGTGGATGGGAACGTGATCCGGGTCCTGTGCCGCCTGCGATGCATCGGTGCCGACTCCAGCAGCCCGGCTGTCATCGACCGGCTCTGGTGAGGGGAATGCTCTGTCTCTGGGGCTATGCTGATCATGGCTAAGGGCAGGATCTCTCAGGAGCCTTTGGGAGCTGAGCCTGTGAAGGGAGAGAGGCGTGGGGCATGGCAGCTCTTGGGAATCTGGTGCTGCTGGTAGTAGTGGTGAAAGGAGCTGTGTTGCCTGTGCCTGCCTAGGAGCAGGAGGAGGCAGGCAAARGTCCTGGGATGCTCTCCCCGCATCSTCTCACTGCCCTTTCTCCAGGGACTTGGCCAATGTCCTGGTGGACAGGAGTCGCCCAGGGGATTTCAACCAAGCCCTGATGGAGCTGGGGGCAACTGTGTGTGTGCCCAAGGCCCCGCTGTGCGGGGAGTGCCCGGTGAAGCAGCACTGCCGAGCACGCTGCAGGGTAAGTGTGAGCCCAGAATGTGGCTCTGAGGGTTTGCCATGATTTGGGACAAGGTGGGCTGTGGATGAGCCTGTCCTCACTCCTGTCCCCCCTTGAAGGTGGAGAAGGAGCTGGCCTTTGCCTCTCAGAAGCTGTTTGGAAAGCCCTCCCCAGTGCCCGATGTTGAGGACTGTGGTAAGCACGGGGCAGACCCCTGCTGTAGCTCCAGGTCTGGGCCCTGCAGCAACTGTTACCTTGGCATTTGCAGGTGTTGGGGACTGTCCCCTGTGTCCCCCAGCCACGGAGCCATGGGACAGCAGCCTGGGGGTGACCAACTTTCCCCGGAAAGCAGCGAAGAAGGCGCCGCGGGTGATGCGAACGGCCACGTGTGTGCTGGAGCGGAGGGGCTGCCACGGGGCCCTGGAATATCTCATTGTGCAGAGACCCAGCTCAGGTAATGGGGCTGGGCGGGATGGGGATAAAGGYACCACATGGCCCCTTCCCACCTGCATGAGGGACAGAGCAGTCTGGGAGAGGCAATGGTTGCTGGGTGGGGAAAGGAGCCCCTGGGGCTGTGATGAGGTTCAGTGTCCCACATTTCTGTCATGCCTCCTCTCCAGGTCTCCTGGCTGGACTCTGGGAGTTCCCAAGTGTCCCACTGGCTCAAGATCTGCAGGAGAAGAAGGAGAGGGAGGTGCTGGCCGATCACCTCCAGGTGTGGATGGGGCAGCCTGTGGCAACCAAAGGCCTGTGCTTTATTGGAGAGGTGAGCTGGAAGGCTGCAGTGTGAGCTCCCTGTGCCCAGCCATGGGGGATGTAGCACAAGAGAAAGGTCTCCCTTCCCCATTGTCACCCTTCCCAAGCTCTGCCTCACCCCTCAGAGCCCTGGCAGACCCAGGGTGCTTTGCATCCCCCGTGGCCTGCCAGCTGCCCATCTCATTCGTCTCTCGATCCCATCACAGGTCATCCACATCTTCTCCCACATCCACCAGACCTATGTGGTCTACTCCCTGTCCCTGGATGGAGATGTGACTGTGGACCCTGCCTTGTCCCCATCCCGCTGGGTGACAGAGGACGAGTTCCATGCTTCAGCTGTGTCCACAGCCATGAAGAAGGTAAGTGGAACACCTGGGCCTTTCCTCCCTTCCCTCAGTTACCTTGGGAAAACCCTCGGCATCCCCTCAGCTTCTCTGGGCTGTCACAGCTTCAGGACGTGGCTGCTGTTGAGCTCTGGGCTCTCTGGTTCTTCCTTCAGGTGCTGAAAGCTCATGAGAAGCAGCGCAGGAAGGAGAGCAGCCCTGCCAAGGTGAGCAGTGCTTTGGGGTCCCTGGGGCCCCAGTGCTGTGGGACAGCATCTGGTGGGCCATGCTGAAGGCCAAGGAGCATCCCCAGCCTGTGGCAGGGGAGCTTGCCTGACTGACACTGCCCCTGTGTGTCCCCAGTAGCCAGGGGAGATCCTTGGGGTCCCTTGGGGTCTGTTTTAGCCCTGCTGTGTCTCCTGCAGGGCTCCAAGCGGAAGCAGAGGCCAAGAGCACAGGGAGCAGGCAACACCTGCCCTGGGACACAGCTCTCCCTCCGTGCCTTTCTCCAGGCACCGACTGCCCCGTGACGGCACCTTCCTCATGTGGGACACCAGAGCCCCACACTGGGGCCAGTCCTGCCTGTGACATGGGAATGGTGGCCCTGTGCTGCTGTGAGCCCAGGACACAGCACTGTAACACTGCTCTTCCCCTGGGAGTTGTGCCTGGATGTAGCCACTGGCCCTGGATTAATCCTGGAGCCAGGCCTGCCCTCCCTCCTTGTCTGGAACCCRCCCGGGGCTGTTCAGCTCTGCACTGGCACCACTTTGGCACCATGGACTCGGAGCACCAGGGCTTCCTCCAGCAGTGGCCACATTGGTCCCTCAGCCCTGTCCCCTTCTTGCATCTCATCCCCCAGCAAGCGACTGGGGATGCTGCTGTACCCTCCCTTRTTTTTTTACTGGACCTAATAATAAATCTGAAGTGTGTGAGGTTTTTTTAAGTGACTATCTCTGTTGCCCTCTGTGCTATGATGGGGATGTCAGGCAGCCTGTGGAGGAATCAAAGATAGGCAACAGGATCTCTGCATCTGGGCTGGGGACAACAGGGATTTCTTCATCAATGCACCAAAGAGCCCCTTGGCTGAGCATGAACTGCTGGTGACCCCAAATACGGCACCCAGAGCACCCCTCCTGCGAGGGCAGCCATCAGCCCCTGAGGGCTGTGCAGCTTCTGCCCCCGGGTTGCTCCTCCCTGGGAACAAAAAACTGCCCCCAGGCCTTTTTGTAGGGTTTTATCCTCCTGTTCAATTTTTCCTGTTGGGCTGCTCAGCACTGTTCATGCTGACTGTGCCCTTGCAAAGGCACAATGCTGGGGGCTGGCAGGGACAGGGGACAGTCCTGGTGGGGTGCAAAGGGCAATGACCTCAGTTTAAGGGAACAAGGCCACCTTGAGTGATGGAAATGGCCTTTTCATCCTCACCTGGTGCTTGCCACATCTTAAATAGGAGGATTAAAAACTCAAAGCAGTGCTTGTAAGCTAATTCTTTAATTGAAAGGAACAAGAGGCTACCGCTTGCCCCCCAGGGTTGGCCATGCCCTGGGTGGTAAATGCCAGTGAGTGGCTGTGTCCATGGTCTCTGGATTATCCACTATCCTCGGGCAGCCCCTCTTCCCTCTACATCTGGGGCTGCTGCTGTGCCAGCACTGCTCTTGGCCATGCTGCAGGCTCAARTCTCAATAAATTAAAATGAAACTAAGGCAGAAAGTTCTTCACATGTGGTCAATCACTGGGAACCCAGTGCAGGGGAGAAATCACCTCCATCCTGGGGAATGCTCAGAGCCCCACTGGACTCAGTCCTGAGTCCCTTGCTCCCACACTGACTTGGTTCTGGATTGACCTGGAGWGCTCCCTTGGTCCCTGCCCACCTGGGCCATGCCACAGGCCCCSCTCTGGGATCTCTGTGCTCCTTGCCCTGGGGTTGGATCGAGGAGGATGGGGAGCTGAGGGAGGGGTGCTGCAGTGCTGCACTACTGCTGCCGGTCCATATAGACCTGCACAGCTTTCCAMAGGGCCTGGATATTGCCTTCCCCAAAGCCGGGCGCTCCCCGACGGTCAATCAGCTCCAGGAAGAAGGTCTCCTCCGAGAAGAGGGGATGAGTGAAGATCTGCATCAAATATTCCTGAGATGGGCTCTCTGTGGCACCAGCACCTGGCCGGCCCATGTCCCCAGGCACTGTGGTGTCCAGGAGGATGCCAAGCTCTGCCAGCATGTGGGGGTCCTGCCCAGCCCCCCGGATCTCCTCYGCTTTGCCCCCATGGCTGTAGTACGTGGTGGGGGGTGTGAAGAACCGTGCCCCCCGCCGCTGCAGAGCCCTGGTCGTGCTGACGATGTCGGTGGTGCAGAGGCCGACGTGCTGGATGCCAGCCCCGCCGTGCTGCTCCAGGAATGTGTCGACCTGGTTGGKGCCGTTGTGGGAGAGGGATTCAGCGAAGACCAGCTTGCAGCCATATGCTGGGGTACCCTGGGCACTCTGCAGTGCGAGGAGCAGCATGCCCACCCCCTGCCCCTCCAGCACATACCCCTCGGCTGGCCTCTCCCGGGGGTTCAGCAGGAAGCGGTGGAAGCCGAAGCAGCGTTGGTACCAGTCCAGAGCAGCCCGGGCCCCACCCCGGGGACAGACATATGTGATGTGGTCAAAGTGTGTGATCTTGATCCCATCCCCTGTGGCTGAGGGGGCTCCTTGGATGGGCTGGAAGCCAGGCAGGAAGGGTCCCYGGTAACAGGATCGGTCCAAAAGGGTGTGGCAGATGTTGCCCACGACAGAGCTCACCACCCCGTAGGTGACAGAACCACCGTCATCCCTCAGCTCAGTGGGCGGCACCAGCAAGGAGCATCCCTGGCTCTGCAGCCGCTTGCAGAGCCCCGGCACATCATCCACCTCAAAGCAGACATTGGAGGCTGTGCCCAAGGTGGGCTGAGGGTCTATGTCATAGAGGAAATCACAGGGTGAGGTGCTGGCAGGTGCCAGGCGCTCGTTGACCAGGAAGGTGGCTGATTCCCGTCGCAAGGCCAGCTGCCGGACACGCAGCGTCTCCCGCACGGCCATTGGCTGGAAGCGAAAGGTGTTGGCCAAGTGCTGGGCCCAGCCCTGCCTGTAGGGCAGGTGGAGGGAGATGAAGCAGGGGCGGCTCAGCGAGGCTGCCATGGCTGGGCAGGCTGCAGGGAGGAYGCAGGGGGTCAGGGGAGCTGCTGGCCCTGGGAAGAGGCCGTTCCCACACCTCATGCAGAGCCCACTTGTGTTTGCAAGCACAGATGCAAATGCGGGTAAACTCACACCTTTTAATGGTGTGTATTTGAAATAAGTGGGTCTCAAGAGCCAATTTGCACTGTGAAAGGGCCTTTGGGACCAGCTGCAGGGAGCTGCCCAAGGAGGCCCAGGCATCCCACCAGCCCTCCACTCTGCTGCCTTGCCCCATGCGTGGAGATTCACAGGAGGAAGCCCTGAGCCCTGGATGCAGCCCAGTGAGTCCCCTCTGGAGCCACGTGTCCTTTGGGAGTGTCACAGGGAGGTCAGCAGGGATTCCCGTGTGCTGCACGTGTAAGCAAGATTATGGGGACAAGGGTTGTGGTGGGAATGTCCTGTACCAGGAACACGGAGGYTGGACTGGTAAACATGAAGCAACACACTGGTTATAGCTAAAGGGCTCCTGTGCTGCCCCAGTGCCTGTCAGGGGTGTCCCACGAATAGAGGGGAGCAGTGGGGTCATGACACAGTGCCCTTCCCCCCTCTGGCAAGGATGGCGTGGAGCCACAATGCTCTCTGCAACAGGCTGGGAGCAATGACCTTGCCCTAGGGGCACAGAGGAGGGACACTTCGGGAAAGTGGCCTTCCTCCCCACCCATCCAAATATCTGTGACGTTCAAGGGGGAAAAAAGATGTGTCCGCAACCCCAATCGGCATCACCTCTCCAGAGCATCCCACGGAAGCTTCCTGACCCCATAGCAAGCACGAGCTGCCCCGGCCAGACCCCACAGGGGTACAGTGGGATGGGGGCCTTTTGAAACACCTTTTGAAATAGTCCCTTTCACCTGCTCCCTGGAAGGGGCTGTGAACACCGAGCTCTCCCTGCTCTTTCCCCCTGCCCAGGGCGCAGGGACCGCGTGGGGCCCGGGTGAGCACATGGGCAGGGACGGGCGCTCCTTCTCTCTGGCCCTGCTTCCCGCTGCGCACCGCGGCACCGGCACGATCCCCGCTCCGCTCCCGCCACCCCCGCTCCCCGCCGCCCGCCCCACCACCCCCGTGCCCTCGGACTGCGGCTCACCGGGGTCAAGGCTGCGGGCGAAGGGGACGCCGGGCAGGGCCGGCCCGGGGGCGGTTCATTCGCTCCTCCCCGGCATGCACCAGGCACGGCGGGATGGACACGGCGCCGCCGGTGCCCGGGCGCTGCGGGAGCGCTCCCGGCGGGGGATCGGGGCGATCGTCCCGGACACAGCGGGGCCGGCACACGGAGAACGCGCCGCCCGCTGCCGGTGCCGCAGTTCGCACCGAGCCCGGCGTTTGCAGGACGAAAAGCTSCCCAGGCTGAAAGCCGCAGGATGAGCCGAGGGAGGAGGGAAGCCAGGCTGCGGCTGGGGCTCCCTGGGACCCAGCTCATGTCTGTGCTGGGTCATTCCCTGCCAGSCCGAGTCCCAGGAGGTGAACTGGGGAAACGTGTCCCTGCCCAGTGCTGGGCACTTCACGGTGTCCGGAGTACCGGGTGGAGACAGGGGGAGCAGCGTGCGGGTGGGGAATGACAGCTCAGCGGCAGGTCCGGTGTTGATCGTGAGATGGGACTGCTCGCCAATCCAGTCCAACCCATGGCCCCACATCCTTGCGGATACCTCTAGCCCCTCCAGCCCCTCAGCMGCGATTCACTCTCCTTGCTGTTTTCAGATGAATTCCCTCTCTGTGTGCGTCTGGGATCATGTTCTACCCCCACTGTGACTGGCTGCTGCCCTTCCCTGCCTTATCATGTTTTTGTACAGAGCCCAGGTACAATAAACTGCTCAAATATTTGCAGAGATGTCCTTGTGCTGCCAGAGTGGTGAGCTCGTTTGGTTGGGGGGTGGAATCCAGGGTTGCTGTAATTTCCCAAGGGAGCACCAACACCAYCACAGCCCCACAGGCGTGGGGCCAGACAAGAGGCGTGGGACCGGACACTGGGAGTTTGCTGTGGGGCCATGGCACAGCAGAACAACATGGCCTTCAGGGTGACACCCCACAGGGCAGGGAGTTTGAGCATCYCGGGGTGTGAGGGAGGCACCCTCTTTTTGGGTGGCAGAAGCTGTACTGGTGGCTCCTGTRGGACCTTGTGCATGGATGGCACTGTTTGAGGTCACAGTCCTCCAACCCTTGGGTGTAAGCAGTGCCCTTGGCAATGCCCCCAGCCCTCCTGTGCCTGGGAGATGGTTTGGAGCGGCTGTGTCTCTTCCCTGCAGCATCGCCCATCACCCTCTGGCGTCAGCCCAGCACCAGGCACCGCTTTGCCCCGGCACGGCTTGGGCACCGAGGCCACATGGCACCGAGGGGGACAGTGCCTGCCTTGTTGCTGTCCCCTCGAGACTGGCGGTGGTGGCCGGGGCGCAGTCCCCACTCTTCTCCTCCCTCCTGGGCGGGGAGAGTGGACAGGAGATAAAARGGGGACCAGGGCCAGCTGGAAGTTGCTGAAAGCTGCTGGGACCGGGAGCGAGGGAGGACGGCAGCGAGGAGAAGTGCGGTATCGAGGGCTCGTTCTCGCGTGGGAGAGGRCTGGGGGTTGGGGCCACATCCACCCTGACCACATCCTGCATCCCCCTGCTCCCTCCCCAGATCATTCCCCCCCCAGACCCACATCCTCCCCCCTGCCCATTAAACTTGCTGGATACTAGAGGAATGGCAAATATCCTGGGGTTGGCAGGGTTGGGGGGCTGTGAGAGGAAGGGGCTTCAGACAGATGTTGGGAGGCAAAGGTTTTAAAGGCTCTGGGTACCCCCAGAGCACTTTATGGGGCATCAAGGACTCTCAAGGTGACCTGAAGGTGAAACTATCTGTGTCCCAATGACTGCTCGCTGGAGGCTGAGATCATGAGGGCTGTATCCCTGCTCCCTTCTGGAGCCGGGACAAACCTCTCTGTGGGGCTGGTTTTGTTTTGTGGGATCAGAGAAGTGGAGAAGGCCCATGGGARGAGGAGCACCTTCATCTCTTGATGTGTGGAGTGGGTGTTCATTGCTGAGGGAGAACGGGGTGCTGTGGCAGTCGGTGCCCACAAAATCGGCAGCAAGGAGCTGGGCAGTCCAATTCCCCACCTCGTCCCCCTCTCCTTGCCCTGTGGGGTGGGGGTCCTGGCTCCCAGCACCAGAACCAGCTCAACAATGCCCACCTTGCCTGTCCTGGAGCCGAGGGCAGGGAGGCAGTTTAGGGTTGCAGTGGATCTGGAAGGAGATATATATATAATACCCCTGTTCCCCTGCCAGGGCCGGGGGCCAGGATGGGGCTGCTGATGCTGGCCCTGGCCACCTGGCTGGGGCTGGGGCTGGCCTCGGCCTCTGAGGAGRTGGCCAACAGCAGCCGGATCTGCCAGGAGGCACCGGCATGGACCATCAATGGCTCGAGCCCCATGGAGGGGGCGGCAGGGCAGGTGACGGTGGTGGCCCTGCTGAAGGCCAGCTGACARTTCTGCCTGAGGCAGGCCCACAGGTGAGCCCCGCGCCCCCTCCCCACAGCAATCCCCGCCGGCTCGGGGGCGTAGGGCGGCCCTGCCCCGGCACCCCCTCCCAGCACCTCGTCCCCACAGCCTCGGGGGCCTGCGGGAGCGGCTGGCCCGGCAGGGCACGGCCGATGTCCGCTACATGATCGTCAATGAGAAGGCGCCGCTGTCCCGCGCCATGCTCCCGGAGCTGCAGCGCCATGCCCCGCCCGGCGTCCCCGTCTTCCAGCCCGAGCAGGAGGACCCTGACGTCTGGCAGGTCCTGGGGGGTGACAAGGACGATTTCCTTGTTTATGACCGGTGAGTGTCCCTCGACTCGCCCGAGGCTTTTCTGGGCGTTACAGAGCGTTTGATGAGCTGCCAAAATCTCCCCTGATGGCTGGGCTGGGGTGTCTCCAGGCCCCGTCTTGAGCCAGGCCRTGACTTCTCCCCTCAGGTGCGGCCGCCTGGCTTTCCACATCCAGCTGCCCTTCAGCTTCCTGCACTTCCCCTATGTGGAGTCAGCCATCCGCTCCAGCCTCGTCAAGGACTTCTGTGGCAACTGCTCCCTCTACCCCAACACCACCCGGGAGGTAAGAGCCGGAATGCTCTCTGGAGCCAAAACCCCTTCTGTCCTCCGGCACAGCGCATCAGCAAAAATAATCTTATCTCCGTGCTGGGGACGGCTCCAGGCTGGCAGCTGCCCTCAGCTGTGTTTGAGAGGGAAGGTGGTGAAAGGTCTGGAATAAGGGCACTTAAATAGGTCAGAGCTTTCCGGTTGAAAAGGAATTGACTAAAGGGGTCATATCCCAGGTCTGGGAATGCTAACTAGGACTGTTCTGGTAGAAGAAAGGGGCAGGCAGTGGATGCAGAGGTGGCAAGCTCAGAGCAAAGAAAAGGGTGTAGCTCTGAGCTTGGCAGGCGATTAGTCACTTCCCAGGAGAAAAATATATCCAGAAATACGAAATGCTAAGTCTCTTTTCTGGCCCACAGACAGCTTGAGCCAAGGGACACAGGTGTAGAGGTTTCTGCCCTGTGTGCTCCAGTCTCTCCTGTCCTCCCTGTGCCCTCGGTCAGGGCTGGAGAGCCTTTGCTCTGACACTCGTTTTTCTGTGTGATGGATGCTGGTCTGCCTTCATCCCAGCTCCCAGCCGTGTTCCCAGGCTTTCTGCAGTGCTCTGTGGCCATTCATGTACCACACCAGCCCTTGTGTTACTTCCCTCAGGCTAACAGTACCATGGAGGGCCCTGTAACCCCGAGCTCACTTCCTGAACATGAGGGGATGGAGTCAGAGACCCCCATCCACCAGCACAAGCCCCTCCATCCTCACCACCATCACGAGGTCAACAGCGAGAGAGACACAAACCCGAGTGAGGACCACAAGCCCGTCACCCATGCCCACCACCACCACCACGGAGACCACGGCCAGCTCCACCACAAGGGGAAGAAGCAGAAAGAGGGGGATGAGCACTAAGCCAGGCTGGGCAGTCTTGCAGAACCCAGTAGTGTGAAGACCACCCTATCTCACTTCACAGAGGCATGGAAGGACTTGCTTTGGGCTGCTGGTCACCAGCAGTGCTGGTTTAACAACTCCCTCCAGGATCCGCCATGTGGGCTGCGCTCCTGTGCTGTGATCGGGATGGAAATTCCCCTTGGACCCTGCTCAGTGCTGCATTTTCAGCCCCAGGGCTCAGTTCTGAGCCTTCCTCTGCCTCTGCCTRCCTTTCTGTGCTCAATGAAGCCTGCCGTGCAAACCAGGAGGTCCCTGGTCACTGCTGGCTGACACTGCACAGAGCAGCAGGGCGGGAGTGGAGGGGCCAGAGCTGGGATGAGAGCAGCACTGTCGGCACCCTCTGCCCATCCTGACATTCATGGGTGTCCTGGAATCCCTGGGTTTCCTGGCCAGGGAGCGAGGGGAGGGACCGCGTGTGCCCTGCAGGACGTGGTCCCAGGGAACTGAGGTGGGATGTCGCAGCTCCCATGGTCCAAAGCCTGTACCCCCAGAGCTGTCAGATCCTGGGCGCCCCCCAGACCGTGCACACGGGTATGTGCAGTGGTGGTGGGTGGCCGCAAGATGGTGACCTTGTCCCCTCTTGGAGACCCAGGGGCTGTATCCAGTGAGCGCAGGCGGGGGACAGGGTGAGGATCCTGGGGTACCTGCTGGGGGAAGTGAGGTGGGAGGGCAGTGTGGTTATCCGGAGTACGAATAAAACCTCTGTGAAGTGACCACTGCTCAGTCTGGCCTCTGGTGGACCCCGAGAGGGTTGGGGTTTTGCCCAGCCCTGGCCTGTGCTCTGGGCACAGGGATGGATGTAGACCCCATAATGCAGCAGCGAGTGAGCACTTACATCCCCTGAGCAGGAGCTGGAGGTAAAGGGGTTGACGAYTGAACAGACCCCATCTCTTCCTACCTTCTGGTTGCCTCTAGGATGTGATCCCAGGACATTAACACTGCACTGCTTACAGGATGTTTGGCTCAGCACCTCTGTGCCTGGCTCGTAGGTGCGAGGTTGGTGTGCCTGCCCCAAGCTGCTGCTTGCTTCCACATGCAGCTCAAAGTGACCATGGGCATCTTGTCCCTGATGCCCAGACCAGTCCTCACTGCAGGCACACCRTGGGGCTCCCCAGCCCTCAGGCAGRTGGGTGCTGTGTCTGCTGTGTCCCTGTCAGTCAGGGGGTGCCCTGCAGCTTGAGGTGCCCTAGGTCATCTCTGCCCTTTGCTCCATCCATCATCCCGCACAGCCCCACTCAATACTTCCCCAGGCCCCACAGCCTGAGTGGGGAGCAAAGAGATGTTTTCCTGCTCAGCATTACATGGTGCTGTGTCCTTCTGCTGGGTTTCTGCACCRCCCCTCCCCCCTGTCTCTGCTGGAGGATGCTCTGCACAGCGACTGGGACAAGAACCAGGGTGAAAATGAGCTGTTCCTCATGGGAATGAGAGCAATGGAATCAGATGTGTCTTTCTCACCAGCCAGGCTCTCCCACAGGATGCTGGCTGAGACCCTGCTCCCCCTCCTCCATCTCTCCTCCCCCTTCCTCCTCTACCTGCTCCCAGTAGCCTGCAAGGGCACCTCTGTCTGCTGCTCCTGCCATCAATATTGAGGTTATCTTTTTCTTCTGGCAGCTGCTGTAATTGAAACAAAGCAGGCCGGGCCTCACGGGCTCGGCTCCTCTTGCTCATTTTGCTGGTGCTGCTGAGACAACTAATTCATCTTATCGATGTGTGGTTGGCCTCTTTTCCACCAGATCCAGGCAGAGCCCTCTCCCCACCACAGCTTGTAGGAGCAGACTGTTCCTGTGGCGTGTTGCTGGGCTCTGCTCTGATCCAGCCTCTGGTCCTTGGCTTGCCTTAGCTGGGTGCTGGCCACCAGCAGKAGATGCCAGAGGAGCCAGTGAGGGGACGAGATGTAGATTGAAAGGATGGTGACAAATTTTCTCTTTCTTTCTTTTCTGATGCATTATCAGCATTTGTGTTACATTCCACATCCTTTCCTTGTGCAAAGGTGTCCGTGTCAAGAAGGTGACAGGTGATAAGTGGGGCATACATACATACATTGTCTCACTGAGAGAATTGCACAGAATGCAATTAGCCATGKCAGAGAGAGGAACCCCACCTGGAACTGGCTGTGTAGTCCTGTGTAACAGATACCTTTTGGKTTCCTCCCAGCAGACAAATTTCTGACCCTGAAAGCCTGGGTGGGTATTTTGCTTTGAGTAGAGACATTGAGGTGTGGGAAAGAGATGTGATATGGTTTGGGTGAAGTCCTACATGACTGAGTAGTGGCAAGGGTTTAGAGTGAAACTGATCCTCTTCCCTATATTACAGTCCAAAGACACAAGATTTTGGGATGCCACACTTTGGGGCCCCTGTGACATCATTAATCCCTGAAAGACACCAGAAACCTGGAGCTCTGCAAATTCTGTGTCAGTGTCCATACTCCTGTGATGCTAAGGGARAACTTTGCTCTGGGTGTGGTGGAGAAGAGGTGTTTTGAGGGAGCAAGCAGGGTCCCTACATCACTGATGTCTTGGAGAGTGATGATGTTAGCAGAGCCAGAGAGCTCCAAGGAATCCTCACCTGTTGGGKGCTGGCTCAGCTGGGGTGTCCAGGACCAGAAACAAGGGCTGGCTTCAGGTCCTGGCATCGCTGTTCCTCGGTACTCTGCTATCTGTGCCTTGGAGGAGGGTGCACCATGGTACCCGGGTACCCATGTCTGTGCCACCACCCTGGAGGAGGACAGATGCCAGTTTCACATCACATGAAGCCTTGGCCCTRTGTGCTGCTCCTGCCGAGGGCCAGGCAGATCCTCTCGGGAAGGGAGGAACAGCCAGTCCTAATGTCAACAGAGGCCTCTTGTGCAGCGATGCTGTGTCAAGAAGAGGAATGGGTCCCTCCTCCTCCGCCCATTCATCTGGCAGCCGGGGTTGGCGTGCTGCCAAGCCAGGCTGCTTTGGAAACATTTCATTGAGGAGGCAGCTGAGCCTAGGAAAACAGAATGAAAATATACAGAGGGATCACTGTTGTTAGGCAAAATAAATGCAGGCGGCTGCATTTCTGTCCCCCAAGTCCAGCCCAGCCAGGCCCCTCTGACTTCTGTGGGGTCAGGGTGGCTGCTGCTGCCTGGGGATGGCAGCCCTCTATCTCCAGTTATGGGTTAAGAGCTGGAGAGTTCATCCGTGGTTTTGGCCAATATGCTGATGGCCCTGGTGAAGAGGCCCAGACTCATCTTAGTGTAGTGCTGCCCAAGGAGAGAGGAGAGAAAGGACAGAGCAGAGAAACAGCAGCAGAGATGAGCCAGCAGCAGTGACTTGTGGTCCCTGCATGGCATCTGGTGCAGATGGGCTGATGGAAGCGATGCAGGGGCTGCAGAAGTGAGTCAGATTTTGGCCACATTCATCCCCATCTCCCTCTTCAGTATCAACCATGGGACCAGACTGAAGCTCTTCTGCAGGACAAAGTCCAATCTCTGGGTTTTCAAAGCCCAGTTGCTTGGCATGGCCCATCTTTTGTCTGCTGGCACAGGGAGAGCAGAGCCACCCCAAAGCAGTCCCTTCTCTGACTTCTGAGCAAGGCTGCCTACAACARGTTTGCCTCTCTCATTGCTTCCCCTTATAACCTCTTTCCTCCAAAGGCTTTCAGACCATTTGATGACCTAGAAGAGACCCATCACAGCTTTTTCCCTCCCTCCTGGTGGGTCCAGAGTGATTTGGGGGAGGCAGAGCTGGAGCCYCAGCCCCAAGGCTTTTGCCCCTGCACAGCTTTCTGTGGCTTCACCTCATCTTTTTGTCCATCCATCCAGCACAGGCTGGTTCTGTTATTTACAGYGCAGATCAGGGTTTGAAAGTGCCCAGTGTGAGCAGAAAAAGCTCAGCCCACACTCTGGAAGAGACATATCTCACCAGTCTCACCAGCCCAAATCCTCTTCACAGGGCTGAGTCTGGATCCTGAGCTGGTCCCTGTATTTGTAGGAGCTTTGCTAAAATTCAGGCTTCCCTCCTGCCCTCCTGCCAGAAAAGCCAACAGCACAATAAKCCTTTTTTGCTGTGTAAGGATGATTTGCCATCTCTCCACATACATTTCCATTTGTCTCTCTCCATATACGTCTCCTCTAGGCAGCTTGGGTGTGATACTGGGTTCCCAAATCCTGATTCTGAGAGCAGCCTGGGATGATGGCAGATGTGACAGCAATGGCCCTCATGACAACTGAGGAATCACATCTTGGAAGAGCTGCCAAAATGCCTGACTCTGACTTCCCATCCAGCTGGACCCTGAGATCCACTAACTTTGCAAAGCCAGGGCAGACCCGATGCTAAAGACTAACAGGAGCATTGTTTACCCCTTGCTTTTCCATCATTTATTCATACTCTTGTAGCCTGAAAAATTATTCCCCATTATTTTAGCATCCCTAATTAAGGGGAAGGAACTTCCGTGGCTGAAAGGGGTGTGTGTGTGGGGGGGGGGGTGGCCCAAGAGGGCTGTTTTCTGCTGAGCTCAGCCYCGAGACAGCCAGCCTGGCCGGGGTGGACGTCTCTCCAGTGTGGGACTGAGTAACTTTCTGGAGCACTCTGTGCTTTTAGACTCCATGGAGAGGTGGCTGCTCCTTCTGGAAGCCAAGGGTCTTCGCCCAGAAGCTCCTCTGTGCTTAATTGCTGCCTGCACAGCAAATGCATTTGCTGGAAGGGTGCTGAAATCTCTGTGGCAAGACGGAGGCTCAGCACTTTGCTAATCTTACAGGGACTGGGGGAASGCAGCCCTGGCAAGCCAGGGATGTAATGTCATGTGTGGGGGAGAGAGGGAACASCAGCTTCTGACAGCCAGAACTTTCTGTCTGGGTAAAAGGGGGAGTCTGGGTCTGCACCATCCCAGCCGGGGCAAACAGAGGGACACACAGGCAAGCAGAGCTGTTTGTGGGTCGTTGTGAGGGTGAGAACAGCCATTCTGCACCTGATCTTGGAATTCAGCCCGTGCTTGGAGAGGGGAGATAGTACTTTTAGTCTTTGCATTTCTCTTTGGAGTACACAGACAATTGCAGTCACACCTGAAGGAGGTCTTTGAGCTTGTCAGTTCTGGAAAGTTTCATAAAATAACTGGCTGGCTAGCAAAAAGCCACTTTATTAGAGTCCCTGCTGGAAGAGGAGCACAGCAATAACTCAGTGCTAATGAATCAGTGGAGAATCCACAGGGGATTTGAACAGTTTGACGGCAAAAAGCTCCAACTCWAGTCTATGCTTTGTCAGAGACCTTACTAGGCACTGGAAAATCTAAAAACAGTGCTCAGCTCCGTGGCCAACCAAACCAAGGTGCTCCTCTTCTCGCTTGCAAGGCCAAATATTTCATAAGACAATGATCTCTGTCTCTTACTGGACACTGGATCTATGAGGAAAATCAGCAGGAAAAATCAGCACTTGGTGGATAACAGCAGTGGTCARGCCAGAAGGGCTGGAGTTGGTGGGCTGCAGCATGAGCAGACCCTGACCAAACAGCCTTGAAACCAAGAGGGGAACCAGGGCTGCCAGCGATAGAGGCTCAGCAAATGGCCGGGCTCAGGAAAGCGTGCGGTGAATTATTGATGTACCTGGTTCCAGGCTCTGAATGAGCAGCATCAGGGGCTGTGCGGGAGGCTGACATTTTGCATCCTTCCCTAGGGAGAAGAGGTCTGCCCATGTTCGCTGGGAGGAGGAGCGCTCTCCCCCTTGCAAAATTCAAGGCAGTAATGAAATGCACA